ATGTGTGGGGGAGCAGGCAGTGGGGGATGAACACAACGGGCGCAATTCAACTTATCTTACACAAAAACAAAGTTGCAGCACAATACAGTTCAGTTCTGTCTGGTATTTTGTTGGTTTGTAGTAGCCAAATCTTGCTCTCAATAGGGACTGCAGGGATTGTTTTTACACCTCAATCCTCTTCAGTAGACAGCCTGATACAATTCATCTTTTTAAAATCATGTCATTTTGTTAGTGAGTGCCTGGAAGCTGCCTGTTCCCTCCCACAGCAGACACTGGTGATGTCTGCAGGGGCTAAGGCAAACAAGGTGAAGAGAAGGTACACCCAGAACCACTTAAATTTCATACCACTCCGACTTACATGCATCTTTACCCATCCCAAATTTCTTTGCTTCTTAAAAAAGAAAAAAAAAAGATTTGTTTCAAATGAAGTGTACAGCTCAAAAACAGGCAAGAGTTTCTCCTAAAACACACTGCAGAATAAGAATAAATTCCATTGAAATTGTACAGAATCACATGATGAACATGGCTCGGCAGTGTGGGGAGGCGGCTAGGAAGGCCAACTGTACCTTGTCGTGCATCCACAGATGCATTTCAAGCAGGACCAAGGAGGTGATCCTCCCCCTCTATGCGGCACTGGTCAGGCCACAGCTGGAGTACTGCGTCCAGTTCTGGAAGCCGCACTTTAAGAGGGATGTGGACAACATTGAGAGGGTCCAGAGGAGGGCCACTCGCATGATCAAGGGACAGCAGGGCAGGTCCTATGAGGAAAGGTTACGGGACCTGAACCTGTTCAGCCTCCAGAAGAGAAGGCTGAGGGGGGATCTTGTGGCCTGCTATAAACTAGTCAGGGGGGATCAACAGGCACTGGGGGAGTCCCTGTTCCCCCGAGCGCCGCCAGGAGTGACCAGGAATAACGGTCACAAGCTGGCGGAGGGAAGGTTTAAGTTGGACATCAGGAGGCGCTACTTCACGGTCAGGGCAGCTAGGGTCTGGAACCAGCTTCCAAGTGAGGTGGTGCAGGCTCCCACCCTGGGGGTTTTTAAGAGGAGGTTAGATGACGGACTAGATGATCTGCCTAGGTCCCTTCCGACCCTAGAAACTATGAAACTATGAAACATGAACACAGAACCTTGTCTGAAATTAAGAGACACCCGTCAGATAACCCTGCCAGTGCAGGATTGCTCCTTACAGAATATCTTTTAAATTTGCCTCAACTTTCCATGGGAATCTATTGCAGACGCACACAGAGTAACCATAAATTTAGTTTAGAAGGCTCAGAGGCTCACAGACTTCTTGATATATATACACCAAATTATCACCTATGTAAATGACCCTCCTGACCCTGGAAAAATATATGAGAAAATACATATGAACAGTCCAGAACAGTGAAAGCTCTGGCACCTTATTTTGGGGTTTCTTGAAATACACACACCAAATGCATTAGACCACTGCCATCACTATTACACATGAATGCCTTCTCTAACCCACTCAATCCAGAAATAACCTTACCAGCACCCATCACAGAACTGAAAATAAGGGAAAAGGAAAGCAAAAGCTTTCTAACAAATTCCTCTGAGCTTTCCTACTGAAGTAACTTCTGTTATTAGGCTCCTGCTCTGCACTGTGGAACTTCAGTCATGGAAGATCCATCACAACAGGACTCCCAACCTCCAGCCTTGCTGGAGAGAGGACACCCTACTGGGAAAGAGACCAGACTTACAGCAGGAAGCTCTGCTCCTTAGCCCACTATATTTCCTGTTCCAGCCACGCCAGTCATAGTCAATTGCCTCCAATCTCTAACAAAGGCAAAGGAGAGAGAGAAAATGACACATGCAAATAAAAGCCCCAGACAAAAGCTGCCCATCTCTGCTACTGAGGTAGCTTCTCTGAACATGCTCCACAAGTGTACTTAGATGAGCTCTCCTCAGGTAACACGTGGTCAGATCATCAGAATGGAACTCCTGCTAGCTAATTTTAGCACATCACCAGGAGTTGGGAATGAAGGAGGCATATAAATCAGGTAACGTGGGGCATGAGAAGTGAAAAATAATAAGCTGTCATATGCAGCTGAGCCAGGGAAGTATTGGATAATTAAAGTAGCTGATAGAGCTGAGCAGTCCTACTAGCTTTCTGCATCAGCAGTTAAAGAGGTTAGTAAGAATCAGGTGGGAATAGAAATTGGATTTTTTTTTTCTATTTAAACTATGGAAAAGAAAGGAGTTGTCTTATGTTCAGTACCCACCACTATCAGAGCTCAATTCTCAAGTGGAGTCTCTAGGTCAGTGATTCTCAAGCCAGGTGATGCAGCACCCTGAGTTGCCTGGAGATCCTTTCAAGGGTGTTAGGTGTGCAAACATGACTCACAAGACAGCCCCAGAGATTTCAAAGAGGAATCCATAGCATCAAAAATATTCTGACCTGCTGGGGTCTTTCTGAGTGCCTCTGCAACAGAAGAATTGCTCTACTATTTTTCTGTAGTCAAGAAATCAAGTGAAAACTAAAAGCTGTTTTTTTTCCCTGAAAGGTGCCTCGAGTCTAAAAAGGTTGAGAACCACTACTCTAGGTGCTATCATAAAACAACACAAATCACCATTACCTTAAGATGCTATAGCAGTGAATAGAATTGTGAAGAGACTGGTATAGCTACAGGAAGTTCCTCTCCCCTCTCTTAAAAATGGTCAAAAGCTGCAGGACCAGATTTCTAGAAGGGAGCGTGTTAAATATTTCTTCTGCAAATGGTTATATATACTGGTCAAGGGATTACTACAGACGATTCAGGTGTTTTTTGAAGCATTAATCTGCTACTCCTGCAGAGTCTCACACATAACCACCCTGTGGCTCCTGGCTTCAGGAGGCTGGGAGAAGTGAAGGGGATGAGCCAGGCTGCAAAGTGCAACTCTGTCGGTCTGCCTGCCCACCTGCTCACAGCAGTGGGTGCTGCTGAAAGGATGGGTAGGGAATGGCAGGGCAGCAGCAGTCCCTAACACAGGCACCACTGGAGTATCTGAAACATGTGCAGGATGCCAGACAGGGGAGGAGAGCATTTACCTCCTGTCACAGAGGGATCTCGCAGCACACTTTTGTTGCTTTTCAATTTGGGAAT